GCCGGGGGGAGATTATCCTGCACTTTTTCTAGTCCCAGGACAGAAATGGGAAGGTCTTCTAATCATAGATCTCTGACCTCAACTGAGGAAGGCTTAAGAGAATATCCAATTGCAACCTTTTTACTGAATTCAAGTCAACATTTGAAAGGGATTCTCTCTTCTCCAAAAGAAACATGGAAAGCAAACCAGCCAAATTTCAAAGCAACAAGGCTCTGCAAATACTTCTGCAGGGTAGAGTCTCCCCTGATCCCATGATAATCCAAGGGTCAGGATTTAATGATGTAGGACAACTTCCCCAGGGCCTCCCATAGCACAAATGGGGTAGTCAGAAATAAAGTGAACAGGACAGACAGGAGCTTGGGGACAGGCTGTGGCCTGTGGCCATCCTGACACTCAGGATACATGAGTAAGGGAGGTAGTGGGGGTATGTGCATGGCTCTGGGGGTAAGCTGGGGATGCCCTTGTTCCTGTCCTGCTTGGAGATGGTAGAGCTCTGAGCTTCCTGTCATCACACGAGACAGGGAGTATTCCAGACCCTTCAAATGGGCAAGTGGGGTAACCATGACAAGGTTATTCTAGCTCCTGACTGAGGAATGGACAAGAGAGGGTAAAGTGGTGGGAGGGGAGGTGGGCAGTGGAGATAACAAACGGTTACAAAAAGTTTCGTTGATGGTGATGAAGACTAACGTAGGCTTAGTCCTGGAGGAAAACAAGAAGGCAAAGACAGCTCACCAGACATCCCAGAAGCACACTACCCATCAGGAAAGAGATAAAGGAAGTATATGTGGGTACATGAGCCAATGAGGTGAGGGACAGGTTAAAGGCTTTTTGATGCTGTGGATAATGTGTCCAAGGAGAGACACCCTGCAGATAATGAATGAAGCTTAAGGATCCAGGTTTATGACACCAGGCCCTATCTCCCCTCTTCAGTACTGGCAGGTTTCTGTCTTGGGGAATCAATTTTATTGATTTCTGGGGCTCATGTTTATGCCGGGTCTCTGGCTATGCCCACCAGCTGGTGAGGGTGAAGCCAACAGGAAGGAAGGGTATCCTGGGTATGACTAGATAAGGAATCTCACAAGGGTGTCTCCGCGTAAAGACTAATGGCAAAGAGCTGAGAAAGTTCCTTTTTTAATACAATTGTAGTCTATATCCCTGCCCAGTCAGTATCTGCCTTTACCCATCCTTCCTATGTTCCAGCATCAACCGTCTAGCCTTTGAGAATACTGTGCTGACACTATAGGCCTCACCTGAGGGTCTATTTGTGGAAAGCATCAAAAAAAGGGATAGGAAACTGGAACTCCTGTCCCAGCTTCTCCCCAGGTTTTCAGTGACAGCCAGGTTCACACCCCACCCAAATTTAGCCATCCCCAACTACACACACCCCCCCACAGAAATGAACCAACAATGCAAATTTACCCATTAGGATCAGCACGGACTTTGGAGGCACAATAACTTGGGACCACTTCGCTGACCATCATTTACCTTATCTATAATAACAAGAAGCATACAGCAACCAACTCGGTAACCTCTAAGACACGGATAAATTCCTAGGAACACAAAACTACCAAGACTGAATCATGCATAGAAAAATCTTACGCACTGATTATTAATAAGAAGATTGTATCAATGACCCAAAACCTCCTAAAACAGAGAAGTTCAGGACCAAATGACTTCCCTAGTAAGTTCCGCCAGTCATACAAAGAAGACATACCAGTCCTTCTGAAACTCTTTCAAAAAAAAATTGAAGAGAAAGGAGCACTTCCAAACTTACTTCACTAAGGCCAGTATTACCCTGAAACCAAAACCAGACGATGACACTACAAGAAAATTAGAGGTCAATATCCCTGATAAACATAGATGCAAAAATCCTTAATAAGTCTATAGCTGTACCACCCTGAACATGTCCAATATTGTCTGATCTTGGAAACTGAGCAGGGTCAGGACCAGTTAGTACTTGGATAGAAGTGCTGAATCACTATATTGTACACTTAAAACTAACATTACACTGTATATTAAGAAATTAGAATTTACGTAAAAAAATTTTTTTAAGTTCTTAATAAAATATTACCAAACCTAATTCAACAATACATTACAAGATCATACACCATGATTGAGTGGGATTTATTACAGAGATGTCAGAAAGGATCAACATTTTGACAAAAGTCAACATCTACTTCTGGTAAGAAACTCTCAACCAAGTGGGAACAGAAGATACACTTCTCAATATAATTAAGACCATATATGACAAGCCCCCAGCTAATATACTCAACAGTAAAAACCTGAAGACTTTTTTCTTTAGGAATAAGACAAGGATGTCTACTCTTGACATTTTTATTCAATAAGCATTGGTAGTCCCAGCCAGAGCAAGTAAGCAAGAAAAAGAAATAAATGGCATCTAAATCACACAGGAATAACAACTGTCACTATTTGCAGATGACATAGTCCTCTATATAGAAAACACAAAAGATTCTATCAAAAAACAGAACAAATTTAGTAAAGCTGAAGGATACAAAAATCAGTACAAAAAAATTCCTACACACTAATAACAAACTAGAAGAGAAACTAAGAAAACAATCCCATTTACAATTGTCAAAAATAAATTTAACCCAAGATGTGAAAGACCTGTGTTCTGAAAACTCTAGGACACTGATGAAAGATAATGAAGACACAAATAAATGGAAAGATATTCTGTGCTCATGGATTGGAAGAATATTGCTTACAAGTCCATACTAAGAGGGGTCCAACATGTCAATGTAACAACACCCTGACCTTCTCCAATGGACCCCAAATCTACCTACATTTAAAACAACTGTTCCTGAAGAACTCGTGGCTGGCTGAAAAGCTTCTGCACAACAAAGGATAGAGGGACCATAAAGAGAACAGCAGGAGACATGGAGAACTAATAATAGGAACCTCAACCCCAGTGCTACAGATTCTAATAGGGAGTGATATCACTGAGGGACCCACATACAGATTTACCAGACCAGGGTCAAAGCAACAAGAAAAAACAATACACAAAACAAAACAAAACACCTGTTTAATGCTACCAGACTGTAAGTGAAGGAAACCTGCACTAACCCTAGAGCACACCCTAAATGGTGAGAGTCTGCTGCAACTTTCCTCAGGTTGGCGGTGCTGGTGAGTGCTACTGTTTGCATTCCTCCTCCACCCTTTGCTGGTTTGCTGCCTCAGTGAGCCTCAGTCACCTAGCCCACACCAGCCCCAGTGATCACCTCAAGGCAACACTCCCACTCATGCCACCTGAGCTACAGCCATCCCATCAAGGCTGCCATGGTGCAGCATACACTGGGAAATCTTTAGCTTCTGCCCACTATGACTCCATCCATTCTGCCAGGTGTCCTCTGTGAAAATGATATTGGCCAGTGTCTTCCCTGGTTCCAGCCTTCCTGCCACAGTGGCCTAGGCATGGAGCACCCCAGGATCTACAAGGCCACATCCACCTCAGTTCCAGCCATCTCAAAATGACCCCTCTTGTGAGGAATGACCTAGGACATGCTTGCTGAAGCTCTAGTCATCCCAGCAGGATGGCCCCAGCATGGAAAGGCCCAGGACCCTGGCCTGCCCCTGCCCAGATCCAACCAACCAGCCAAAGCTGTCAGGCATATGCAGTCTACACAAGGGAATTCCTACACAAGCCCACTCCTTCAAGAGGTACAGGTTTCACCTATTCCACAGGAACAAATAAAGTAAAATAGAATAAAAGGGCAGAGGAACAAGACACACACACACACACACACACACACACACACACACACACACACACCAAAACCCCACAAAACTTCCATAAGAAGAACTAAACAAAATGGAGATAAACAATCTACCTGAAAAGAGTTCAAGTATGGTCATAGTGATGCTCACTCAACATGAGAGAAGAGTAACTGAACTCAGTGAGAACTTCAAAAAAGAGACAGAAAATATAAAAGACAACCAGTTAGTGTTAAAGAATACAATAACTGAAACAAAAAAATACACCAAAGGGAATCAAAAGCAGATTAGAAGATGCAGAGGAGATCAGCTACGTAACAGGGAGTAGTGGAAAGCACCCAAGCTGAATGGTAAAGAGAAAAAGAATTTCTAAAAAAAATGACAGGGTAAGCAAACTCGGGGACGATAACAAGCATGTGAATGTTCACAATATAGGGGTCCCAGAAGGAGAAGAGAAAGATTAAGGTACAAAAAAAATTATTTGGACAATTAATAGTTGAAAATTTCTCTAACCTAGGGAAGGAAACAGATATCCAGATCCAAGTAACACGGAGAGCCCCCCAAAAATATGAACCCAAGCAGAGCCACACCAAGACACATAGTAATTAAAATGGCACAAATTTAAAAAAGAGAATCTTAAAATCAGCAAGAGAAAAGCAACTGGTTATGTACACGGAAGCCTCATAAGGCTATCAGCTGATTTTTCATCAGAAATTTTGCAGGCCAGAAGAAGTAGCAAGATACATTCAAATGTGAAGAGGAAAATCCACTGGCAAAACAGTCATTCAAAACTGAAGTAGAGTTAGTTTCCCAGACAAACAAAAGTTAAAGGAGTTCATCACCATTAAACAAGCCTTATATTCTATGCAAATTATGTGGAGGGGAAGGATTACAAATGTATTACTTTCATAATGTGTTCAAATTTAAATGACTATTAATTTAATATAGATATCTATGTATTTAGGACATAATATTTGAACATTGTAACCACACAACAAACCTATTACAGACACATAAAATAAAAATAAAGCCAAGCATAACACTAGAGAAAGTTATTAATCACAAAGAAAGAGATTAAGAGGGAAAAACTATAAAAACAACCAGAAAACAATTAAGAAAATGGCAGTAAGTAAATAATAATTAATTAAACATACTTCAGATGTAAATGTTGTAAATACTCCAGTCAAAAGACACAGGTAGATGTAATGGATTAAAAAAAAAACAAGACCCATCTATATGCTGCCTACAAGAAACTCACTTTATACCTAAAGACAAATACAGACTAGAATAAAGGATTTGCGTGTCATCCTTGCGCAGGGGCCATGCTGATCTTCTCTGTATCATTCCAATTTTAGTATATGTGCTGCCGAAGCAAGCACCAGACTAGAATAAAGGAAAGGATAAAGATATTTTACTCAAAGTGAAATGGAAAAAAAAAAAATAAGCTGGGGTACCAAGAGTTTTATTAGATAAAATTGATTTTTTTTTTTTTAAGATTCTATTTCCTTATTTGTCAGAGGGAGAGAAAGAACACAGGCAAGGGAAGTGGCAGGCAGAAAAAGAAGCAGGTTCCCCACTGAGTGAGGAGCCCAATGCAGGACTTGAACCCAGGACCCTGGGATCATGACCTGAGCCAAAAACAGATGCTTAACCAAATGAGCCACCTAGGCATCTCCAAAACTCTCTTTTATACAGACTGTAGAGGAGGAGTTAAGATGGCAGAACATCAGGTAGCCCCTAAGCATCAGGCATCTTGTCCCTTGAGCACAGTAGATAAATACCAAATCATTCTGAACACCCAAAAAATTCTTTTGAAGACTAAGAGAACAAACTGCACAACTAGAGTTAGAAAAAATAGCCATATCATCAAAGGCAGAAACTGTGGAGAGTTGACCTAGGGCAGAAAAGAGCTGTGGGTGCTGCGGAGGGGAGGGAACCTTGATCAGAGATAGAAAAAGTGTGTACAGGAGATTGTACTAGGGAAACTCTACCCCAAAACTACTGCCTGGGAAAAAGAGAGGAACTGACTATTGCAAGTTTTTTTAATTTTATTTTTTATAAACATATATTTTTATCCCCAGGGGTACAGGTCTGTGAATTGCCAGGTTTACACACTTCACAGCACTCACCATAGCACATACCCTCCCCAATGTCCATAACCCCACCCCCCTTCTCCCAACCCCCTTCCCCATCAATCTTCAGTTTGTTTTGTGAGATTAAGAGTCACTTATGGTTTGTCTCCCTCCCAATCCCCTCTTGTTTCATTTACTCTTCTCCTACCCCCTTAACCCCCCATATTGCATCTCCTCTCCCTCATATCAGGGAGATCATATGATAGTTGTCTTTCTCCGATTGACTTATTTCGCTAAGCATGATACCCTCTAGTTCCATCCACGTTGTCGCAAATGGCAAGATTTCATTTCTTTTGATGGCTGCATAGTATTCCGTTGTGTATATATACCACCTCTTCTTGATTCATTCATCTGTTGATGGAAATCTAGGTTCTTTCCATAGTTTGGCGATTGTACACATTGCTGCTATAAACATTCGGGTGCACGTGCCCCTTTGGATCACTACGTTTGTATCTTTAGGGTAAATACCCAGCAGTGCAGTTGCTGGGTCATAGGGTAGTTCTATTTTCAACATTTTGAGGAACCTCCATGCTGTTTTCCAGAGTGGTTGCACCAGCTTGCATTCCCACCAACAGTGTAGGAGGGTTCCCCTTTCTCTGCATCCTCGCCAGCATCTGTCATTTCCTGACTTGTTAATTTTAGCCATTCTGACTGCTGTGAGGTGATATCTCATTGTGGTTTTGATTTGTATTTCCCTGATGCCGAGTGATATGGAGCACTTTTTCATGTGTCTGTTGGCCATCTGGATGTCTTCTTTGCAGAAATGTCTGTTCATGTCTTCTGCCCATTTCTTGATTGGATTATTTGTTCTTTGGGTGTTGAGTTTGATAAGTTCTTTATAGATTTTGGACATTAGCCCTTTATCTGATATGTCATTTGCAAATATCTTCTCCCATTCTGTCAGTTGTCTTTTGGTTTTGTTAACTGTTTCCTTTGCTGTGCAAAAGCTTTTGATCTTGGTAAAATCCCAATAGTTCATTTTTGCCCTTGCTTCCCTTGCCTTTGGCGATGTTCCTAGGAAGATGTTGCTGCGGCTGAGGTCGAAGAGGTTGCTGCCTGTGTTCTCCTCAAGGATTTTGATGGATTCCTTTCTCACATTGAGGTCCTTCATCCATTTTGAGTCTATTTTCGTGTGTGGTGTAAGGAAATGATCCAATTTCATTTTTCTGCATGTGGCTGTCCAATTTTCCCAACACCATTTATTGAAGAGGCTGTCTTTTTTCCATTGGACATTCTTTCCTGCTTTGTCAAAGATTAGTTGACCATAGAGTTGAGGGTCTATTTCTGGGCTCTCTATTCTGTTCCATTGATCTATGTGTCTGTTTTTGTGCCAGTACCATGCTGTCTTGATGATGACAGCTTTGTAATAGAGCTTGAAGTCCGGGATTGTGATGCCACCAACTTTGGCTTTCTTTTTCAATATTCCTTTGGCTATTCGCGGTCTTTTCTGGTTCCATATAAATTTTAGGATTATTTGTTCCATTTCTTTGAAAAAAAATGGATGGTACTTTGATAGGAATTGCATTAAATGTGTAGATTGCTTTAGGTAGCATAGACATTTTCACAATATTTATTCTTCCAATCCAGGAGCATGGAACATTTTTCCATTTCTTTGTGTCTTCCTCAAGTTCTTTCATGAGTACTTTATAGTTTTCCGTGTATAGATTCTTAGTCTCTTTGGTTAGGTTTATTCCTAGGTATCTTATAGTTTTGGGTGCAATTGTAAATGGGATTGACTCCTTAATTTCTCTTTCTTCTGTCTTGTTGTTGGTGTAGAGAAATGCAACTGATTTCTGTGCATTGATTTTATATCCTGACACTTTACTGAATTCCTGTACAAGTTCTAGCAGTTTTGGAGTGGAGTCTTTTGGGTTTTCCACATATAGCATCATATCATCTGCGAAGAGTGATAGTTTGACTTCTTCTTTGCTGATTTGGATGCCTTTAATTTCCTTTTGTTGTCTGATTGCTGAGGCTAGGACTTCTGGTACTATGTTGAATAACAGTGGTGATAACGGACATCCCTGCCGTGTTCCTGACTTTAGCGGAAAAGCTTTGTTTTTCTCCATTAAGAATATTTGCGGTGGGTTTTTCATAGATGGCTTTGATAATATTGAGGTATGTGCCCTCTATCCCTACACTTTGAAGAGTTTTGATCAGCAAGGGATGCTGTACTTTGTCAAATGCTTTTTCAGCATCTATTGAGAGTATCATATGGTTCCTGTTCTTTCTTTTATTAATGTGTTGTATCACATTGATTGATTTGTGGATGTTGAAACAACCCTGCAGCCCTGGAATAAATCCCACTTGGTCGTGGTGAATAATCCTTTTCATGTACTGTTGAATCCTATTGGCTAGTATTTTGGTGAGAATTTTTGCATCTGTGTTCATCAAGGATATTGGTCTGTAGTTCTCTTTTTTGATGGGATCCTTGTCTGGTTTTGGGATCAAGGTGATGCTGGCCTCATAAAATGAGTTGGGAAGTTTTCCTTCCATTTCTATTTTTTGGAACAGTTTCAGGAGAATAGGAATTAGTTCTTCTTTAAATGTTTGGTAGAATTCCCACGGGAAGCCGTCTGGCCCTGGGCTTTTGTTTGGAGATTTTTGATGACTGTTTCAATCTCCTTACTGGTTATGGGTCTGTTCAGGCTTTCTATTTCTTCCTGGTTCAGTTGTGGTAGTTTATATGTCTCTAGGAATGCACCCATTTCTTCCAGATTGTCAAATTTGTTGGCGTAAAGTTGCTCATAGTATGTTCTTATAATTTTCTGTATTTCTTTGGTATTAGTTGTGAACTCTCCTCTTTCATTCATGATTTTATTTATTTGGGTCCTTTTTCTTTTCTTTTTGATAAGTCTGGCCAGGGGTTTATCAATCTTATTAATTCTTTCAAAGAACCAGCTCCTAGTTTCGTTGATTTGTTCTATTGTTTTTTTGGTTTCTATTTCATTGATTTCTGCTCTGATCTATATTATTTCTCTTCTCCTGCTGGGTTTAGGGTTTCTTTCTTGTTCTTTGTCCAGCTCCTTTAGGTGTAGGGTTAGGTTGTGTACCTGAGACCTTTCTTGTTT